TGCAACTGTTGGAGGCTTGCTCTTCCTTGGCTTCTCCTTGTCTTCCTATTTTTTTCCCCCTCTATAAGTTCTAACCTCAATTCAATTTTTGTTTGTCATTTTCTTTTATAAATTTTTCCAACTTTTTTCCCTTTTTCTTTTACATTTCTTAGAAGTTTGGAAGTAAGATATGTTGGCCTTTCGTGTATCGTTCTAGCATACGAAATACATCTACGTACCGATATTAACTCTATAGTTCAAAAGCAAATTCATATAAAGCCTTTTGTACTCGAGCTCAAAGAACACAAAAACCTCAGTGTTCGGGTAGGTAACCATTCTTTTAAACTGCATAGTTTCTCGTCTTCTTATTTCCTCCATGGCCCTCACTCTCCTTGGCCTGCAACTCTTTTCCTTGTGTGCTTGATGAGATCTTTCTTGCTATTGAGATCTTTCTTGCTAGTTAACAATGGCCCTTAGATTCTCATGAAGATAGTTTGAAACTTTGATGCTTTTTCAAGAAGAAAACTTGCAGTCTTATTTACCTTCCTGTCCCAAAAAAATATCGATTTGTGCGCTGCATTGGCATTCTCCTAAATTAGTGCTTTAAGAAAAAAAAAATAAAGGCCAGTTTGATAATGTTATAATGTTTTTCTCAAAATTGTACTGAAACTTTGGAAACAACGAAAACAGGTTTCTTATTTTTTTGTTATCGTTTTCAATTTGTTCCAAAATATAAATATAAATAATAATCCCGGCTCTAGCTACCTTTAGCGACTGTGGGGATCGCTCCCTCTAATCTTAGTCAATTCGACTGCGACTGAACCGTCTCTTCAACTTCTTAACCCGTGGACTTTGAATCACATTCAGTAGGTTGGGTCATAAGAAACGAGCCATAAGGAGAAAACAAAAAAAAGAGATGAGAACGTTATCAAATAGGACAGAAGAAAACTAGTGTTCATTCCATAGGAAAAAAACTTCCAACAAACAATGGATAGAATGCTTACTAATCCCCATTGAGGAAAACAAAAAAGTGAGAGTTGAATAAGAATTGTTGGGGAAATGGAGAATACTTCATATTTGCATTTTGTTTGCTAAGATGGACACTTCTTAGTTCAATTGCTTGGCATGGTAATTTACAACCAAACCAATTCCATCCATGAATTTGATAGGAAAATTTCTGGTACCACGGGAGTATCATACTTCATTCTATTTATTGTTTACCACATCAGCCATGTATTAAAAATTATGTGGGGTCTATTTATTCTATTTACTATATATAAATGAGAGAGAATATGATGCTCCTGTAGTACTAGAAATTTTTTCGAAATAGAGTTGTAATAATTAGGCATACTGAAAAAAAAAAAAAAAGGCCTATAAATTATCCATGATCAATAACTCTTTTTAAAAGGAATGCTCTATATATACACACATAATTACCAAACAAATTACCTAGTATTTTTGTCCATTTCCCCTCAAAGCTCTGTTCCGATGAGTTTGAATTTGGTTTCTGCGATTCGTCATTACACGAATGCTCTGTTCCGAATCCCATTTTCTCAGGCGCCAAACGCAAGCTGGAAAAAATCATCACTTTCTTTCACCTGCATTATTGAAGAAGGCGCTGTAAGATGAGATGGATGAATCTGGGCAGTCGGTGCTTCTCTTCTGCTGCTTTTCTGAAACTTTCCCGTTCTGTTTCTCAAGTTTCGTTGCCCCAAAAACTCGTATCATTCAACTTGTCTCAGCATCAGCTGTTCAAGTCATGTTGCTACCACTCTTCCAATGATTCGTTGGCTTATACCCTTCACGCCAAGATGGTCAAGAATGGTTCTATTTTGGATTCAGGAAAGTTCGTTTTGAGTTCTTACGTGAAATCTGAGAAATTAGACGATGCACAGAAAGTGTTCGACGAAATGCCCAACAGGGATGTTCTCACTTGGACGGTCCTTATATCGGGTTTTGCTCGAGTAAGATGTTCTGAAATGGCATTGAGACTCTTTAGAGAGATGCTGGTTGAAGGTGTTAGTCCAAATCATTTTACTTTGTCTAGTGTTCTTAAACTTTGCTCTAGAGTAGGTGATGTTCAAATGGGTAAGGGGATTCATGGATGGATGCTCAGAAGTGGGGTCAACTTAGATGTTGTCCTGGAGAATTCTGTGCTTGATTTGTATGCAAAGTTTGATGCATTTGAATATGCCAAAAAGTTATTTGATTCAATGAGAGAAAAAAGTACTGCCACGTACAATATAATGCTTGGTGTGTATGTCCGTAGTTGTGATGTTAACAAATCTCTTGAATTATTCAGAAAATTGCCCTGCAGAGATACCGCGAGTTGGAATACGATTATATGTGGGCTAATGCAAGGTGGACATCTGAAAACAGCATTGGAGCTACTCTATGAGATGGTGGAGAACGAACCTGAGTTTAACAAAGTTACTTCCTCCATAGCTTTAAGTGTAGTTTCTTCTTTATTGATTATGGCGCTAGGGAGACAAGTACATGGCCGAATTGTTAGGTTTGGTTTTCATAATGATGGATTTGTGAAGAGTTCTCTGATAAATATGTACATTAAATGTGGAAATTTGGAAAAGGCATCGGTGATATATAATCAAATGCCTTCAGATTTTGTGAGTAAACAAGGTTCCAACATTGTATGTAGCGACATGATGACAGAAATTGTATCACGGAGCTCAATGGTGTCTGGATATGTTCGAAATGGGAAGTATGAAGATGCCTTCAAAACTTTCATTTCTATGATGCGTGAACGGGCTCTGATGGACAGATTTACCATTGCAAGCATTGTATCAGCTTGTTCTAATGCTGCTGTTTTAGAGCTTGGTCGTCAAGTCCATGCTTATATTCAGAAAATTGGGGAAAGGCTCGATGCTCACTTGGCTTCCTCCTTGATTGACATGTACGCCAAAGGTGGGAGTTTGGATTGTGCCCGTCAAACTTTTGAGCAAATGACCTATGCAAATTTTGTGATATGGACTTCCATGATTGCTGGATGTGCTTTGCACGGGCAAGGTAAGGAAGCCATTAGATTGTTTGAACAGATGAGATCTGAAGGAATCATACCAAATGAGGTTACTTTCGTAGGAGTTTTAACAGCTTGCAGTCATGCAGGTCTGCTTAAAGACGGTCGTCGATATTTTAACATGATGAAAGATGTTTATGCAATCAAGCCTAAAGTCGAGCATTTCACTTGTATGGTAGATCTTTACGGTCGAGCTGGATGCTTGAATGAAGTCAAAGAGTTCATCTATGAGAACGATTTATCACACCTTAGTGCAGTTTGGAAGGCATTCCTATCATCTTGTCGGCTTTACAAGGACATCGAAATGGGAAATTGGGTTTCTGAAAAATTGCTTGGGCTCGAACCACAAGATGAAGGGCCTTATGTTTTACTATCAAACATGTGCTCCAGCAATCAAAAATGGGAAGAAGCTTCCAGAACAAGAAGATCTATGCAACGCAGAGGGATTAACAAAACACCTGGCCAATCTTGGATTCATGTGAAAAATCAAGTCCACTCCTTTGTTGCGGGAGACCGATCGCACCCTCAACATGCTCAGATATATGCATATCTGGACAAGCTAATTGGAAGATTGAAGGAAATTGGGTATTTGTATGATGTAAAATTGGTGATGCAGGATGTAGAAGAAGAACAGGGTGAAGTGCTTCTTAGTTGGCATAGTGAAAAGCTTGCAGTTGCTTATGGCATTATCAGTTTGGCTTCTGGCATTCCAATCCGAATCATGAAGAACCTTCGAGTATGCGCTGATTGTCATAACTTTATGAAACTAACATCTCAGCTTTTAGGCAGGGAGATAATTGTTCGAGATATTCATCGTTTCCATCATTTTAACTCCGGTCGCTGCTCTTGTGGCGATTATTGGTGAGCTGGGATGGAGAATTTGATGCATGTGAATTTTCATGCATAAGATTACTCTGCTTGGAGCGTTTTTGGGGAAGCAGGTGCAAAATATTCATTGAAGAAGCTAGACTTTTAACATTATGCTTCTCAGATGTCAAGGCTGCAAAGTTCTGAGGCCGGGATTCTTTGTAAAGGCGAACTCCACATGCTAGAACTGAAGGATTGATGTAAATTACATGAACATGATGAGAAATCTTCTGTAAATGAATGAGCCAGGAAGAACCTTGTCAACATGAGTTCCACTGAAAGAGAGCAACCAGAGGGCAAAGAATAGTTTGCAAAAGATTACCTGGTGAAATAAATCACAACCTTCACCACTTGATTCTCCATTTGGAAAGGATAGTAAACTGGGGATAATATGCTCCAAGTCCCAACGGCTCACTCTTATGACCACCTCAACAACACAATTTCAGAAACACAAAACAAGACTTTTGATCATACTGACGTATAATAAGAAGAATCTGGAGAAGGATTGCTTACAGCTACTAATACTGTTACACATGGTAAGAATCAGTGGTATACTTTTAGTGAATTTGGGTGGATTTTAGATTCTTTTTTTTTTTACAAGCATTTTTATAAAAATACCAAGTAAATGCTTCTTCTAAAAAGTACAAAAATGCTTTTAAGTGCTTTAGAATTTTTAAAGGCATTTTTGGCCGTGTCACTAATCATCGTGATATATTTAAGAAGTTTAAAAGCAGGTGAATGTTTGTCCATAATTAAGGGGCGTTTGGTGTGACAAAAGAAACATTTTTCAAAAGTTTCATGTTATTTGATTACTGATGTTAGAAACACTTAAAAAATGATTTAAAGGTAAGTGTTTATCCGAAAGTATTTACAAAAAAAGTGATTCACTTAAGCGTAGTACTCAAAAGAGTCGAAATCCATTCCGAACTCTTAGAAAAACTAAGCACCATTCATTTCGTTGCCACTTTCCTGCAGCTTCTGTATGTTACTTCTCTGATAACAGAAAAGAAAATGGCATACTGATATATTCTCCCTCCAATCTTATATTGCAGTGATCAGACAGACCAGTCATTAAGGCTATGGTTCGTGTTGAAGCAAATGGTAGATGGGTACACAACAGTTCCAAAAGGGATATCAATAAGCAATCACAATGGATCTAACAAAGATGTTTGGCATGGAAAATATACAATTTTTATGTTTCCTTAACACAGACATGGGAGTTGCATTGCAGAAACAGAAAATGATACAAAATCTACTTGACGAAGTAAGGGAGGTCCAAGACATAGAGGAGGAAGTAGGCCCAGATGACGCCGGAGATGCCTCCGAAGAAGAATCCGCCGGAGAATTTCGCCCATCCGTCGGCTGTTTGGAGCTGATCCGGGGCCTTCTTCCGGCCAGTCAAGGTCAACGATGGTGCAGTGGATGGCTCTCCTTCATTGAAGGATGCAACACCATACATTGTCAAGCAGATGCTGAGAATGACAATGAGGCCGCCGGCGGCCAGTGAGCCGGCTCCTCCGGCGTAGGCGGTGTTCCTCAGAGGCCCAGCTTTGACAAATGGGCCGACGAGAAAAAAACCATGGGCCAGGCCCACTTCAATTCCCCTCAGCAGTGGGCTGACTGCTGTTCTGTAGGCTGGGAGATTTGAGAGGTACCAGGCTATCAGTGGGCTTGAGGTTACTGGAGTCTCAAGGCTTCCAATGAATGGGTCTCCATTGATGGGTTGGATCACTTGGTAAGTGGGCTGCAAGTGAAACATAATCAGGTATGGGATACTATTCTGGTTGAAAAATGAACCAAATTCAAATGATAATTGATTGCAAATACGGTCTAATTCTTTGTTATCTCTAACAAACCAATAATTAACATTAGATATACTAGGTAATCAGTGATTTGAATCTAGTCAACAAGCATGTTCAATGTAAATCATTTATTGAGTATATCATATGTTAATTATTGAATGATTAGTATAAATAGGACATAATTTTACATCATTATAAAACTGTCATACTCTTATTATCCAATAAAGAAATGGCTCTTTCATTACACAATTTCTTTCCTTAATGTCTACAAATGATTTTTGTTACACCTGATTTGGTTAATCTCTCTTTTCAGTACATGTTTACTTTCTCTTACTTATCACTCTCCTCATAAGCACTTCCTCATACTAGTCACTCTCTTAATATACAATTCAATAAACCAATGGCTTTATCTACATTCAATGAAATTACTTAGATTTGCAAAATGGGAGTTGTTTACCTTATCAGCTTGGATGGCTCTGATGGTGAAGGAGTGTGTTCTTGCAGGGACTCGTCGGAGCGGCGAAGCGGAGAGGCCTTTCGGAGAGATTAAGGCTCTGGTGTTGGAAGAAGCAAAGCTGGAACTGAGCTGGCTGGCTATGGGAGAGGTTGCAGTGGCCATGGCTGCTGCTTGTGAAAGGATCAGTTAGTTGAATGGCAGAGAAGAAGAATGAGGTGAGATTTTTAGATTCATTTTGGGGGTTAGATTTGCATTGGTGGCCATGGAAATTTGTGGGAGGCTGTGGTTGATCAAACCTCTCCCTTCTCATTGGATGGAAGTTGCCACATAACCTTATCCCTTATCCATTTCTCTCTCTCTCTCATGGGAAAATGGGCTGGCCCAAGTGGGCTTGAAAATTTTGGATTTGGGTCTCTCTCTCGATATGAGAGATAATGTCTTGGATGAGCTATTTTGAAAACTTATTTTCACAAATGTCCAATATTTACAAATTTTACCGTTTTAGATCTTTGGTCATTGGACATGTTTAGATTTTCACACAGTGGACATTTCTAGTAGATTATCTTTGATCTAGCTATTTAACATGTTTAAGTGCTTTTTAGTACAACAAGGATGTGTGGAGTTAGAGAATTTAAACCTTCAACTTTTAGGAAAGGTTGAATTTAAACCTTGGAGATGTTGCTGATGCGAATTCGCATCAACTTATATTAGACTCAAAATTGGGTAATGTAAATAGATTTGGGAGGGTAAGTTATGTTGGGTTTTGTGTAGAAATTAAGAAATATAGGGTAGGTTCTAAAATATTTTGGACAGTACGGTAGTTTTATGTATAGTGTTAAAATAGCGGGTTGAAGAAATGATACAATGTGAATAGTGTTCAATTTCGGGACTTTTAGGACTTGTTTGATAAAGTCGTGGAGAGAATATTAAAACTCACGACCTCTTAACTACAAGTGCACACTTTACACTAGCGAACCTCGTTTGGATCGTTTTGATCAATGATTTACAATATATATTATTTAATCTAAATCTGCCTCTAGACACGAAAATGGAAACTAAAGCCTCTTTTTTTTTTAATGTTTCTCAAAATTTAGAAACGAGATGAGTTACCAAACATGTCTATAGAACAAGAAACGGGAACGTTACCATACAGCCCTCAGTGTAAAACCAAAAAGGTAAATCACTACACCTAAAAAATTTTTTATTTTTTATTTTTCATTTTTTCATATTTTTTTTCTCAAAATTTTGAGAAACGTAAATATTTTATTTAGTAGTTGAAAAGATCGTTTTTCAAGAGTTGATTTCTGACAGGGAATGTTTTAAATTTAATGATAGGATGACTTCTCAAAACAACAACATTCTTCCAACAAATCTTAAATAAATTGTATATTAAAAATGAAAAATATTTGTAAATTATCCCTAAAAATGATTCAATTTTCATGAATATATAATTGATGATCAAGCATTATTAAGTTGAAAATGAATAATTGAACAAAAGGAAATAACTTTATTAATAAAAATATAAAATATAAAATAATTCATGAAACAAACTACATCATCATAATCAAAATAAAACCTAGAGCACAACTAAAACTAAAATTCACAATTAGTAATCAAGAAATCCAAAAACTATTAAACCCTTTTGGCCAATTTTTGTCGCCATTCGAGGTGGCCCAGCCCAGCATTCATTCGCAAATCAATCCTGTAGTGAAATTGAGACTGCTTGACCTCGGAAGCTAATTCRCGTGTAGGCAGCGCTGTCTGTCGTACCGTTGACTCGAGATCTATTCATTGAATTGACTTTCTTAGATTTTTTCTATGGGCTCGCTCCCTCTTTTTCCAAGAATTGATGCACTTCCCTTTACTTCATAGGGCCTTTTCTAATAGGGGAAAAGCCTTCCATTTCCGTCAAATGACCCGGCCTCCCCTGGCTCTTCCACCTTTCCCGCCTATGCTATGCTCCCCCAGCGCAGGCCTACCACGCTTCGCGCCTGCGGCCGCCAGACGGTCTTTGCCAGTAGTGCCATCCTCCCCGCTGGCTGTATGGGCAGGTTGCCCCTCGAAAACGAAGAATGATCCAAAGAAATTATACATTAAGGAGAAGTCAATAGAAAATCAAATGCATCAAAAAAAAATTTTAGATGTCAATTACCACTGAGCTAAGTTCATGTTGACGAATGCAAGAAATTTTACTTGTACATTAGATAATATTTTTTGGAATATATATAATTAAAGGCAACCACTTTTGTTAGAAAATGAGATGAAAAAAACCACAACATACATGCTCAAAATAAATACTTTAATTATAAATAATACGTGACATTTAAATTTTATGAGGACAACGAATTAGGTACTATATGTTGTTGAGAGTCCTCCTTTGAGCAAAAATCGAACAAACAAAACTTGATTTGCATCCCTAATTAATATTACTGCGCTTAAAACAATCTTACTTTATTGTTTGAAAGAAAAAGGTTAAAAAATACCTTTTTTTGGTGTACTTTTAGTTTTGATTCATTTATATTCTACCACTGACAATATATTTCTTAAAATGTAACAGTTGATGCCAATTTTTGGGTCAGGTCCACATAGGTGCCACACACGTGCCACACAAGTCTTCACCTCTAGGCCCTTGATACATGCACACAAAATCTAACACTTATGTGGTGCTATGTCGAATACGCTCTGATGCTTAAGTTAGAACTCAAGTTGAAAGTATGGAGCATAAAGAATAAAAAGTCATTATTCTCAAGGGTGAAAATTCACTTTAGAGAGGGTGTGTCGAATCTTCACAGGGAGTTATATGTAGGGAAATGCGGCTTATTTTGATTAAGGTTGCTATGTTCTTTATATATGGAAAGAGATAGAGAAGCATGGAGGTTTCCTTCATATGAGGCGCGGGGAGCAGTATATGGACTAAAATGCAAGGACCAAAACAAACCTTCTGAAACTATATAGACTAAAATAAATCAAAGTTGAAAGTAGAGGGATCAAAACGAACATTTTTGAAATTACATGAACCAAAGCTAAAAGTAAATAGATCAAAATAATGTTTTAACTCGTTTAAATAGTCGGTAAAATACATAAATTTCTCAAAAAAAAATAAAAAATTGAAGCTTGAAAATTTAACATATTTACAACTAGGTCACCAAGTAAATTAATTACATGCAAGAAAAGATAAAAGAGGATTAATTGTGAGCCATATTCATCTATGGAATCTCATTGACACGTTTTTACAAGAAGCTTCCCTTTTTCATGCACTAAATTTTGGTCAAATCGTTTTTCATGCATCACCCACACTAATATTTTAACCACATATTTCAGTCAAAAAATTGACTGAAGCACTCAAATCGCAGCAACAGAAAATTAGCACTCTAATGTCTAAGTTAGTACTCAATTATGCTCTCAAATTCGAACTGAACATTGAATTTGCACGTATCCCAATTAGGTATTTATAAGGACGAAAGAAGTGGTTGCAACTGCTCAGAGATCACGCACGTAACCACATCCATTAGATCTTCGATGCAAAATTCGTCTTGTGATTAGTGGTGCAGTTGGGCGGTTCTTATCTAAAGCATGGAGTATTTCTTGGCATTTCAACTCGGCCATTTAACTTTTAGTTCGTAAACACATAATTGTGCTCCATTTGATGACACGTGCCAAATTTAGAATTTACCTCTTCATAAACAATTTTAAAATTGTTTCTATATGTGCTGAAGAATAATCTATTTTTGGAGTAATAATAAACAAATATCTTTTTCAAACTATTTAATAATGGGTGGTGCAGTCCCATTAGTTAAACAGGTGAGGCAAAACCTGGTAGGTGACAAGTAAAGACCTATTTGGTAATATTTTTGTTTTTGACAAGTCCGACAACTATTTATGTTCTCAATATTATTGTATAAACATTTCGAAAATAAAAAAACAAGTTTTTTGTATTTTGTAAAACATAAATAAAAACATAGTTTAATCATTTATAAATCTATTGGTACGGCGTCCGAGTCATACAATTCTTATTTTTTTTACTAAAAGTAAGACGATAAAAACAATAAATGAAACCGTTACCAGACGAATCTCARCTAAATTTCAAACCAAGTGGTCGGTCTTCGGATCATCTTGAAATTCAACTKGAAACGTACGGTCATCCTTTCCTGGGAAAAGAAACCAAATGATATCGCAATCTCCCATCCTTCTTATTGACACGTTTTCTAACATAAATCTCCATTTGGCTTCCTTCTTTATTAATTACTTCAAATTCATTGAACCTCATCTTTTTTTTTTTTCGCTTTTTGGTCAGAAAAATTTATAAAGGCCATTAGGGTTTCGGGAGGAGGTGAAAATACAAGAGTTTATATATATTTTTGGTTTAAATATCCATTTTGTKTTGATCTTGTACTTTCAACTTTTGTTCGATAGTTAAAAAATATTAGTACACAGTAAAAAGCTACAATTATATTTTAAAAAATTTATTCGATAGTGTTATGCTATAACTGTAGTTAAAAAAATGAGGTAAAAATAAAAATAAAATGATCAAAACAATASGATCAAACGTTTTAAAATTATACTGACTGAAGTGAACAAAAATTGAAATCGCGGATATTAAAATTATCAATATTTTGATGTTGGAGGCATCAAMGTATAGATAAACGTTTAGGACAAATTTATATTTTTCATCGAATTAAAACCAAAATTTATTAGGAAAAGTATGTGAAAGTGAAAAGAGAGGTATTGCTTGTGTTTCCTCATTTAATTCCGTGGGAATTGAGATTTCTTTCACTAAAATCAATGTTCTTGACACCATTCCTTAAAATCTCTRTGCTAAGAAGTTCCAAAGTCAATATGTTCTCAACGTACATATCACAAACGTACTTTAAGTACTTAGTCAGGCATTTAATGCAATTTATAAATATTAACTTATGACGTTGATTGGACTAACAAGCGATAATTGAATAGGAAGTGATATAAAGATTAGGGTTCGATTCAAACTTATGACTTTTTGATCAGAGATAAGTGTCAATTATCGTGAGTTAAGTTTATGTTAGTTTGACTGTCTTTTCTTATTTTAACTAATTAGCATATTTCATCGACATTTAAATGATAGCATTAACAGGTTAATTAATCCAAATATAGCGTAAGATAAGACATTAATTACTGCTACAAATGTTGATGATCGAATTTCTACTTTTAAGTTGTTGAATTATGGAAATGAATCAATTAGAGATACATTTGAAATATTTTAGAGTCCAAAGAGTAAATGGACCCAACAATTTCATGATCACCTACCTTATGAATTAGTAATTCTTATGTGTTTCACGGTATCAAATATTGTAGGGTTAGACGATTGTCTCGTAAGATTAATCGAGACGCGGGTAAGTTGGCATGAACACTTACGGAAAAACAATAATAATAAAAATAGACTCAACAATTAACATTCATAGACTAACTTTTTAAAAATTATTTATTTATTTATTGATCTAATGAAAGATAAGCATACATCGAAAAATAAGTACGATAGAATTATAAAACATATGTTCACTATGAAAATTGATAGGATTTTAGGGAAAAAAGGACAATCAAGCTTTTTTTTTTTTTATTTCCTTTTTTTAGTTGAAATTTGTAAGTTTTTGACAGAATATATTTAATAACAGATTTTATGTATTATCCAACATAATTTTTGTATAAAATTATATTTCAATCAGTGAAAATTGAACCGATGAAATTGCAAACACTTAAAATCTGAGGACTAATTTAGGAGAAAAAAATGATTTTTCAAAATTGGGATGGCTAAAAATTGCATCCATGTTATTTTCTATGGTATTGTTTGACAACCGATTTTAWTTTTTTATTTTTTTTTCAAAAATTAAACTAGTAAAAACTATTTATACCTACATTTTCTTCATTTTAGTTTTGCACTTTAATTAAAATTTAAAATAAAAGATTGATTAAAAAATGTATTTTATTATTTCAGAATCTTAAATATACCTCTTAATTTTTCTTCTATTATTTCAGAATCAAACTTTAAATAGAAATAAAAATAAAATTTAAGGAATCAACGAAAAGTTTTTATTTATAAATTAGAAAAAATTTGCAACTTGAAATGAAGTTTAATGTCAAAAATTTGCAACTTGTTTAGGCATGTTTATGTAACTACATATTTCCATCAAAGTTTTCAACAGTGTTGCTGAAAGTTTATTTTAATAATTTAATTTTTGACACGTAATTCTAGAAGAAATTTCATAAGAATAAAATAATTCAATGGTAAAAGAATTAAGAAACTAAAGTAGGACTATTAAAATTACCAAAAAAATGTAAATAAGAAACTGTGTGAATTGAGATTTTAGAGTGAGAAATTGAGTGTAGAGAGAGATAGACTAGTACTRGCAAGAGAAAGTGTGAAGACCTAAAACAATTTTTTTTTAATACAACAAATCAAATCAGGAGTAYGAGGTTACCTCAAATGAAAGAGTAGATGAGTTCAAGAAATATTGATAAAATCACAAAAATCAAGAAATTCATATAAAAAAATATTTAAACTTATAGATAAGCACTTAATGTACCCATAAATTTGTATTAAATAGTTTTTATTGTATATAAAGTTGKGTTAAAGTTTTGCAAATTCTTAGTTTCTTACCGACGAGGATCAATTTCGTCATTACCACTATTAAATGTTTTAGGACTAAGAGAGGAAATGTAAAAATAGATTTTTTATTTTTATTTTCGAATAATGAACTGTCAATTTTTTAATGATGGTAATGACAAGAGTTGATCATCTAGCAAACACTTTTARAAGTACGAACTAAAACGAAGCAAAGYTAATAAYCGAATATTTAAAGAACATACTTCATTTATTCACTTCATTATTTTATAACATTTTTAATATGATGCTGGTAATGAATGAAAAGAATATCTATACATCTCTCATAGTATTGTAATTTTTATCGTGGAAAAATTTTTGGTACTACAAAAGAGAGCCAATTATCGATTAATTATGTTCGCTTTTGTGTGGTAAAGATACAGTAATTTTAATTTTAGAAATAATATTTACATCATTCGAGGAGAGCAAATTTTACGGAATGGATGTTATAAATACACAACTGCGAAGCCACTCACACCAGTGGTGCTTGTGCTTCTCTCTGTTCGCTCTGTTATTTTTCATTTTCCTCATCGCCGACCGCACCCGCCGCCGCCATGATCGCCGGCAAGGACGTGCTCCAA